TGCTAAACACCATGGAGCCACACATTTCCAACATGTTCATGTACTACAACTCGTCAAAAGAAGTATGGGACAAAGCCAAAAAATTATATGGCCAACAGAAGAACTTTGCCCACATTTTCAGTCTCAAACAGGAGATTTCAAAGATCAAACAATGCAATCAAAGCAACATGCAGTTGGTGACAGATTTAGTTTCAAAATGGGAGGAACTCAACATTTATCTCCCACCAACAACAGACCCAATCGAGATTCAGAAAAGGAACGAGCATGATTTGATTTTCACTTATCTGGGAGCCCTCGATGCAAGTTATGAGGCAGCCAGATCCCAAATCCTTCTCTCAGCCGAAATGCCAAGCTTCAATGATGTCGTAGCAACAATCGAGCAAGAGGAATCTTGAAGAACACTTATGAACCCACAACAATCGGAAAATTTCGAAAACAATCGAGCCTTCAAAGCCCAATACTCAACCCCTAATTCTAGAGACACGACCAAGATGAGGGGGATCTCACCAGCCGACTGGTGCGACCACTGCAAACGTGCAGGGCACAACCAAGAGGGCTGCTAGATCTTTCATCCCCATCTCCGGCTGGCTCGTAACAAGGGGGAGAAAGGGAACTGTAACGGTGCAAGGAAGGAGAGGAAATTTGGGGGATTCGGTGGTGCAAACAAAGGGATGGAGACGAGCCCTAATGATGGGGCTGGACATGGGCCTGGACTTATTGGGCTTGGAGCTGGACAGGGGCCTGCTGGATGTGGAGCTGGACCTATTGGGCTTGGAGCTGGACACGGGCCTGCTGGATTTGGAGCTGGAGCTGGAGCTGCTAGACTTGAACCAGATTTGGCCCTATCGGACTTAAAAGTTGGGTCCTCTTTGACGCCTACGGCCCAATTGACGCAGCTACTGGCCCAACTAAATGGTTTGTTACAGCAACAAACTACTCCAGGTTTTGTACTCTCCAAACCCGATTTAAATATTTCTAAAATTTCTAAAATAGCTAATTCTTGCCAAAATACGGGTAAATGGATTATTGATTCTGGTGCTACCGACCATATGCCATGGGTCAAAAGTAAAATACAAAATGTCATACAGATTAAAGAGCCTCAACATGTAATTGTTGCAAATGGAAATAAAGCCCAAATTTGTCGTGTAGGTACAGCC